AACCAACCACAATCAAGTCTACGCACATAAGCTCATCACGAATACAAAGAATTCATATAATTGCTTCAATTCAATGTTCAAAAGAGGGTATCAACAAAAAGGATCATGGCTTGTAACTTGGTTAATTGAAAGAAAAGGCTAAAGCTCAAACTTGGCTCACTAGAGGTCTATGTAAAAGGTAGGCTTCCAAGAAAAAGGCTAAAAACAAAGGGCTAATCCTAATACCCATATTAAGATATCGTGCATCCAAAATACATCAAAGGTAAACAAAGACGTTCATACCAAAGCAAGTTCTAGAAAAACCGACTAGTCATGACAACACACAATCAAACAAAAGGAGCATGATATTCAATATATGCTCATAGGCTCAAATCTCACCAAAAAGAAGGTAATATGTGTCGAATCACATGCATTCGTCCGTCAATTAATCATCAAGAATAATCAATCACCAAGTAGCAACAAGAACTCCAAAATCATTTTCACGTGCAACTAAAATCAATTTTTCACCGGATTGGCACCAAACGAATCGAGAATAACCACAAGAAAAACAATGAAATAAGACTTAATACCTAAGATAATAAATAATCTCGAAAAACCATCTCAACAATATTATTGACGACCAAAGATAGATATATAAGGATACGCTAAACCAAACATCGCAAATGACACCCCACCCCACACTTAAAAATAGACATTCTCCTCAATGACACCCACACAATGCTCAAGCAAAATATAGAAAATAAGCACAAGAGAAGTAGAAAACTCCCCTGATGGCGTAGAGCATCCGGTTGCATTTTTCAACAATTCGAGCATTGTATATGTCATTTTTCCATTGAGGAAATGTTACATGCTCTGAATATGACCCCGTGTGTTTGATTGGTGACCTTTAGCATCCCCAAAGCGGGACTCCGATTAATCTAGTGATTGCTGTAAATGTGCATCTGCATTTGAAATGCAATATTCATGTAGTTAATAAGTTATCAATTAGATTAACTTATGATCACTAGATTATAAGTGGGTATAATAACTTATCACTTACATGACAAGCACAAATGGTATCAATAGTTTGAAAATTAGAAGGGGTGCCATCAGAAATGCATGGCTGCAGGCAAAAGCAATGGCATATATTTTGAAGTTAGCACCCAAGATACCTAAATAAAAAAAATAATAATAATAATAATATAAAAAAAACTTAAATAGATATTTTTTTGTATATGCTCACGCTGAAGATTGTGATGAATCGATAAACAGAAGATATCTCACAACTAGCAATGCTAGCAAAGTTTCCGGTTCCGAAGAATGCAATATTGAAGAAGACCATCTGCAAACAGAAATATATACGAAAGGAAAATATCAATTTACTTACTGGAATTCCTTAAAAAAAAAACTATATATATTTAAAAAAGAACCCATAAAACTTAAAGTTAGCAATGATTCATGATGCAGAAATCAATGTAATCTTTCTATTAAAAATAAAAGGGAACAGAAAATAAGAACGACAATGGTTGCAAGAACCGCAATGTATTTCATAACCCATCGCAAGATCAAACTTTTTATTACAGTGTCGCGCACCACTCATAATTGCCGCAGTATCTACATAATTCTACTGCAATATTGTGCAAAAAAGTTTTTGCCAAATTATAATCGAAATAATTATTTTCACTTTAAAAGTACACAGAATAACTAAAATAATTATTTCATGGAGAAAATAGCAATAGAAAGCTACTCGAGTAACAAGAAGATCACCAAAAACAAAGATATGAAACCAATTTTTCAGTATAGATACTTACACATTTTTTTCACAGAGAAAAAAGCAACACTCTTCCACTGAGTGAGAAGTCTTCACATAAAATAAGGATATGAAACCAAATTCTTCATCAATTTTTCATCCACATACACGAACGATTAATTAGTAGTATCGGAATGCATTGATTTTTCACGCGCCTTTAGATCAAAGAATACTCAAATCTGAATATTCATCATCAAATCTGACCATTTTAATAGTTGTTCTAATTTAAGCTTTTCACAAAAATTCGGTTATTAAAAAAATACTCACAATAATGACAATTTGCAATTACTTTCATTCTCGAATTCCCTCGCAGAAGCATTCCATTAAATATTTACAAACAAACATACAAAGGTCCCGAAAAATCTAAATTCAAATATAACTGATAAAAGTGATTCAAAAGAATAGTGACCTCTATGAAGTCCTCTGCAAATTCCTTTTATACCTTTTACAGTATAGAAGTCC